AGTAGAAAGGAAGGGAGGGGTCACGTGACGGGGCGCCTGGGCGGAGGGAGCTGGGACGGGGAGTTCTCCTGAGGCAAGCGGAGCAAAGTGGGGGGGACGCGGCGGTGGTGGTGCTGACAATGGTGAGTGCACCGCGGCCCGCGCGCTCGCCTTGCGGCCTCGCTTCGCTGCGCGCGGCGGGACGTTCAACGGCGGGGCCTGCGTCGCGGGAGGGGCCGCGGGGAGCGGAGGAGGGGGCGGGCGAACAGGGCAGGGAACGGGGTTAGGCCTGTCGGGCCACCCCGAGGTCGGGGAAGGGCGGGCGGCGCCGTTTCTTCCCGGTCTTGGCGAGGCCCGAGCACCTGCAGGCGGCTGTGCACTCTCCTGGCAATGTCGGAGTCTGTGCCTGCTCTCCTCGACCGGCTTTGGGGGCCCTGGCTGGGTACTCGGACCCCACCCCGGCGGGGCCTCGCCTCCACCTCCCCTTCCAAGGTAGCCAGCCCCTGCGTTTCCTCCCGGGCAGCCTCGCTTTCCTTCAGATTGGGGGACCCTTGAGTCCCCCAGTTCTGGACTCTGGAGGACTTGGTCATTCTGCCGGTGTGTCGCGAGCTTGACAAACTATGATTTTTAAGCCTGGATGCGGTGGCGTTCAGCGATTTCATGATCCTGGTTAAGGCTTGGTGTTGACACTTGTAGAGTGGGCGTAAAAAGGAAAAGGACGTTGGAAGGGGAGACGTCTTCAACTCGAGAACACTAGTTTCGTTCCTTCTTCAAGTCATTTTTATAAACTTAACGCTTTGGGGTGTTGAAATGGCCTAGAAAGCAGAGGAGAGAGGGAAATCAGAGTACTGTTAACCACAGTTAATGGAAAATACAGCGTGGGCACCATGACGTTTAACTTTGTGTGTCGACAGTCCTGTGGATTTGATCTCAGGAGTTATTTTGTTGTAGTGTGCGTTTATTCGTTTGATTTAGCAAGCGTTTGTTCAGTGGCTACTGTTTGCTCTCCTTACGTTTATTACCTGCACTCCTAAAGCTCACTGATGATATGAACTGTTTAAAACTTTTGACTGAAGGCCACGGTAGGTTTATTTAGTAATAATAAAAGTAACTTTAAAAGTCAGAAATCATGTTAGTTTAATTTTAAAAAAAGTAGACTTTTACATTCTAAAACTTGGAGCCTTTTTTTTTTCTTTCATTCAACAACTACTTAGGTGTGTCCAGGGGAGTGAGCAAGACTTAACCAACCTTTGCCATTTTGCAGTTTACAGTTTAGGG